GTAGACAAAAATTGCCGAACCACGTAAATCTTGTCTTGTCTTGTCTTGTGCAATTTATTGTTTTTCTCCTAAATATCTTTTTCCTTCTATTATCTTGACACGCTTCCTCAATATTTTCTTCCACAAAATGATGTTTTGTCGGGAGGATAAGTTAAACATTAGAAATTTGAAAGAAAAAAATTGAAACATATGAAACGCATGGACCGATAAGAAATATTAAAATTGCAACTTTAATATGTTCCTCCATTTTTCTTCCCTTAAATAACTAGCGTTTATCAGAATTTCACCTCGTGACGTGCGCCTAATTCATACATATTTTTTTTAATATTCTACTAAATAAATTTAATTTTGTCAAGAGAGTTTGAAGTTTTTATGACATTTACCATATTGGGATTCATATCAAAAAGTGCAATCGAGAAACTTCTTGTTACAAAACCATTCAAATGCTTCACCGATGACTGACTATAATTAGAGAGCGCGATTCTTCCCTGAACCTTATATTTACGTGGTATACAAAGTATACCGAACTGCCTTTTTTTTGTCCCCATTTTTCCTGAAACAAATGTCTTTCTTTTAGACAAATAATTGAAAACTTGCAACAGCTATGTGCTCAATTAGGTATACAAGACCAGAAACCTGTTGTAAGCAGTAACATTGTTTCTAGTTTTTAATTATTAGAAGAAACTGGAGCATACGGCATACCATTATTTATACTCAGAAATTAACAGCTTGTTTGGATGGTTGTTCCCCGTTGTATTGTATTATTATCCCAAAATAATATTTGTTTTGATTATTTCATTAAAATTAGTTATATTATATTGTTAAATTCATTGTTCCAGAACAATGAAAAGTTTCCTTTTTTGAAACAACTGATTTGGTGTGGTGGGATTGTTTCCTATTTTTAATTCCAATTAAGCCCTAACTTATTACTCCACAATTCTACTTTACCCTTTACCTTTTTTTCTATTTTAATTCCAAATCTCCAACCTATAACCTACTTTGTTTTTTTCCTGAACTTCTGCCGATATCGTTAAAGGTGTTTTGTTGCCTTATGTTTTATTTTTTCTCCTAATTTGCTTTTAACTCAATTCTACTTATCTGTACTCCTTTGTTTTGCCTTCTTCTGTCTCGCTCCTTTGTTCTGCTTTTTTAAGGTGTTTTGTCTTCTTCTGTTTTGTTTTTTCAAATTATTTTTATACATAATTTTTGATAAATTTAATATTTAAACAATTGACGGTATTTTAGTAAACTTATCAAATAGAATACAGTACGATACAATCAAACTAAATAGCAAAATATTATTTAACAATAACGAACAATATAATCTATCCAAATATTATATTCATAAAACAATACGATACAATACATTATAAAACGTAAACAATCATCCTATCAGAGCGTAAAGGTTTTGTTTCTAGATAGAGATATGACAGATCTACTTACTTTAATCGCAATAACATCAGTAGCATCCAAAAATATCCTTAGTCATAAGTCACAACTATTAAAAACGATATTTATATGAGGCATTAAAGTTGTATGTCTGAATGTCAGTCAAACATGTTTTGAACTATCTAAGCCACAATGGACAAAAGGGCACACAAAATCATGCAATCTCAGGTTCAATTCCCACGGAATGCAAAAACATTATAATTCATTCGTTTCAATTTACGTTAACCTATTGAAAATGGATAAGACTTTTGATTTTACGGTGTAAAATGGGGCACATATATTTTGTATGGCTATAAATTATTGTTTAAAGGTAAATTATTTCCAAATAAGGAAAGAGATCATTCTTTTTGGCACGAACTAAAAAGGAAATAGGTTCACACAAACTGAAATGGAGGGAGTATGATAATTTCTTTTCATCCATATATGTCTTGGTGCACAGAGTTAGCTGATACCTATGTTGATAAAAAATAGTAGATAAACTGTGGAACTAGTCGAGGTGCATAGAAGATGGCCCGGACAACACAAAGAAATACAAAGTATATATTTACAAGTAAAACCCAAAGCTTTATCCATATAAAGCCACTTGTACCTTATCGACTATACCCACACCCAACATACATTATCTTCACCTTGTAGCAAATCTTGATTCAGCCTTCCCACAGTCTATGTGTGGACTTCCATATACACACAACCTAAGGTGAAACAGTTACAGGTCTTTATTACTATGGAGAAAACCATACCTGGTAGAGAGGACAACAAGAAATCCACTGATTGTAGTATCGCAGAGGACAACAAGGCGGTTCTTCAGTTCATTGAAGAAGTCACTACCAACGTTGACGAGGTCCAAAAGAGAGTTCTTGCTGAAATCCTCTCGAGGAATGCCAATGTTGAGTACTTGCAGCGTCATAATCTCAACGGTCACACTGATAGAGAGACGTTCAAGAAAGTCATACCTGTCATCACCTATGAAGATATTCAGCCTGATATCAACCGTATAGCAAATGGTGATAAATCTCCAATCCTCTGCTCCCAACCCATCTCTGAATTCTTCACAAGGTTAGTCCTTTTCTTTTGCTTTACTGTTCTAACTGTGCTTGCCTAAGCCGGGGGTCTCTGGAAACAGGCTCTTTACCTGCATGAATATGCTCGGGATCTCTGGAAACAGCCTCTTTACCTGCATAAGGTAGGGGCATGCGGGTAAGGGTAAAGTCTGCGTACACACTACCCTTCCCAGACCCCACATATGAGAATACCACATATGAGAATATACTGGGAATGTTGTTGTTAGTCCTTTTCTTTTATTCCGACAGAAGATGTGCATCCCTATGTCATTAATATTTCCATGTGAACCTTTTGTCTTTAAATTTTGCTAAATGGGCAATTTTTATATGCAGTTCTGGGACGTCCGGAGGGGAGAGAAAGTTGATGCCAATAATAGAGGAAGATTTTGGGAGGAGATCACAGCTATACAACCTTATGATATCTGTGGTGAGCCAATCTTTTCCAGATTTGGAAAAGGGCAAAGGAATGTATTTCATGTTCGTAAAGTCTGAGGCAAAGACCCCAGGAGGATTACTAGCTCGCCCTGCTTTAACTAGTATTTTCAAGAGGCCTCATTTCCTCAACTCAAACCACACCAGCCCAATTGAGACTATTCTCTGCCTAGACTCTTATCAGAGCATGTACTCCCAAATGCTTTGTGGCCTCTGCCAAAACAAAGAAGTCCTACATGTAGGTGCGGTGTTTGCATCCGCCTTCATCCGTGCCATGCGATTCTTGGAGAAGCACTGGTCTCTACTTTGTAACGATATCCGAACTGGAACCATTAACGCACAAATTACTGATCCTGCAGTGAGAGAAGCAGTGATGAAAATCCTAAAACCTGACCCAGAGTTAGCTGATTTTATTGAGGCTGAATGCAGCAAAAGTTCATGGCAAGGGATTGTCACTAGGCTGTGGCCTAATACCAAGTATGTGGACGTTGTCGTCACTGGAACCATGTCACAATATATATCAACCCTTGAGTATTACAGCAGTAGCCTCCCTCTTGTCAGTACCACGTATGCTTCATCGGAATGTTCCTTTGGAATCAACTTGAACCCGCTTTGCAAACCCAGTGAAGTTTCTTACACGCTCATTCCCACCATGGGTTATTTTGAGTTCTTACCAATTCACAGAATCAATAACGAAGTCAAAGACTCTATCTCCGTGTCCGAGTCGCAAAATGAGAAAGAACAACAACAATTAGTCGATCTGGTTGATGTCAAGATTGGGCAGGAGTACGAGCTTGTTGTTACCACATATTCTGGTACTTTCAAACACCAAATAAAATGCTCGACGCACACTCTTTGTTCCATTATCTATCCAACAATTCTTCTAATGCTTAAAATATCTTGAACTTGTGCCATTTCAGGACTCTATAGATACAGGGTGGGTGATGTGCTTCGGGTAGCTGGATACAAGAATAATGCACCTCAGTTCACCTTCATTTGTCGGGAAAATGTAATCTTGAGCATTGATTCCGACAAGACTGATGAAGTTGAGCTACAAAATGCAGTGAAAAATGCAGAGAGTGTTCTGATACCATTCAATGCACATGTAACCGATTACACAAGCTATGCTGATACTTCTACCATCCCAGGCCACTATGTCGTATTCTTGGAGCTGAGAGTGAATAGCTCTACCCCAATCTCTCCTTCAGTGTTCGAAAATTGTTGCCTCAGCATTGAAGAATCTCTAAACAGCGTCTACCGCCAAGGCCGTGCATCTGACAAATCCATCGGACCTCTGGAGATCAGGATAGTTGAAATTGGAACTTTCGACAAACTCATGGACTATTGCATTAGTTTAGGTGCTTCCATAAACCAATACAAGACACCGCGGTGTGTGAAATTAACACCCCTTATTGAGCTATTGAATTCGAGGGTCGTGTCCAGCCACTTCAGTCAAACATGTCCAAATTGGATTCCTGGCCACAAGCAATGGAACAACATGAATTGAATAGCCAATTTCCATTTCTTCTACTGGTAGTTTTTTTCCCTATGCAGAAAAGAACAACTATCTTTGTAAATTATTATAGCATTGGAAAAGAGTGAAACCTGGTAGACCTATCTATGTTAATGCTTCAGTTTAGAACTTTTTTATCTCCTTTCTCTTCTATTTTCCTGAAATAAATGTCTGCCTTTCGGACAAATTTTTAAACTGGCAAAAACAATATGCTCATTTAACTATGTGAGGCCATAAATATTTCACATAATATGTCCAACCTTGTGAAGTAATAGTGATTAGTGATTGTGATTCTCAATCAACATTCTAAATTGTGTTCTGTATGCTATATAAGACACTGCATATTTAGGATTAAGCCCAACATAATCCACAATTTTTGAATTTTAACTTAAAGGATTCTATTTAATTTTCATGAATCACTAATACACCACAATATTTGACAAAATGGAAACAAAGAGGAAATAGAGAGAAACTTCATTACAGTGATCTTCATCTTCCCACGATTTTCAGTTAGGAACTGATGAACAGTTACTTGAAAAGACTACTTCCATGTGAATTCGCCGGCGCCGGCGCTTTTTCTTCAGCCGCCGTTTACGTTTCTTACTGCCGAAAAAAATTTGGGAGAGAGGATTAGAGAAGTGTTCGATGATATTCCTTTTGATTCGCCATTGAGAGTTATACGACGGAATTGCAATTGAGGTTAGAAGTCGCATTGCCATGCATATAAGTCGCATTTGCCCATTACGATTTATAAGTCGCATTTACTTATTGCGATTCATAAGTGACTTTAAAAGTCGCATTTACCATTCTGTTTTATAAGATGGATTTAAATTATAAGCCACATTTAACTAGGATGTATAGGTTGTATTTGAAAATTGCTATTTATGTCCGGAGCGGATTACACGGTGGAAAATCGAACTTCACCAATAAAATGGAAGTTCATGTCGGACTAAAGTACACTATTTTGTCACAAAACATGGATGTAGGCAAAGTTGAATGATTTTTTGTTACAAAAAATTATTTAGTGACTTTCTGTAATATTTAGGTAAGTTAAGTGAAATATTTGTTACAAAAAATAGCTTAGTAATTTTATGTAGAAATGGCGTGGGATAGCCACTTTTTAACATGGTATTTAGTTTTTATCCAGTATTTTTAATGCTGGGCAAAAATAGTCATTACTCTATTAAAATTAATACGAAAAAACGTTTTTACTTTTTCTTCATGAATGTTGTGTAAATATTAAGGACATGGTATCCTTAACATTTACACTGCACACATGAAGTTAAGGACGTCATGTCCTTAATATTTACACTGCACATATAAAGTTAAGGACATGATGTCCTAAAGTTTAACAACGGAAAGTGCAAAGGACACTTTGTCCTTAATTTTTTGTTGTTGTATTCATGAAGTTAAGGACACTATGTCCTTAATATTTAACACATCACTCATAAAGTTAAGGACACTATGTCCTTAACATTTACACTGCACACATGAAGTTAAGGACATGAGGTCCTAAAGTTTAATAATAGAAGGTGCAAATACAAGTTAAGGACATTATGTCCTTAATATTTATACTGCACACATGAAGTTAAGGACATGATGTCCTGAACATTTACACTGCACATATGAAGTTAAGGACATGATGTCCTAAAGTTTAACAACGGAAGGTGCAAATACAGGACACTTTGTCTTTAATATTTACACAGCACTCATGAAGTTAAGAACAACATGTCCTTAATATTTACACAACACCTATGACTAGCACAGGGATATTCCGGGCGAGTAAAAATTTATTAAGCATTGGCTAAAGAGTAAATACATTTTAAACATCGGCTAAAGAGTAAGAACATCTCTAATTAGTGGCTAACTGTGCACTTCCCCCTAATTTTATGTGATACTTAGGCAAAATAAGGACGGTTTTCGCTTATTCTCAAATAATTTCTAAATTTTAAATAGTGTTATACAGTAAGACAAAGTTAATTCTGGAAAATATGTTCCATGCAAACCCATAATTACAGTACCTTATTAGTTAAAAAAAAAATATTATTAACTCAGGACTAGAATTTTTGTCACTACATAGAAAAATCACAGTTTAACATAGTAATTATCGTCGGAAATAAATCAAGTATTGTAGCTCAAAAATCCAGACTAGATCTGGATCCGAAGTAACAGCACAATGTCAACAAGAATTACTTACCTTATACACAATAATATAAATATCACCACTTGCATCTAAATCAGTGCACATAAGTCACAATTATAAAAAAGCAAATTTATATGTGCCATTAAAGTTGAGTGTTTTGAAGGTCACTGGCACATGTTTTCAACTATCAAAGACAAACTGACGAAAGGACGCACGTGATACATTTACAAGTAAATACTGAATTCAGTTGAACCCATAGTCAATAGACTCCATCTGTCTCAGCTTTAACTCGCCCAAAACGTCCTCTTTATAAAGAAAGCTCTACCTTAGTTGTGATATATTTACAAATAACTACTGAGTTCAGTTGAACCCATAGTCAATAGATTCCATCCGTCTCAGCTTTGACTTGCCCAAAACGTCCTCTTTATAAAGAAAACTCTACCTTAGTTGTGATATATTTACAAATAACTACTGAGTTCCGTTGAACCCATAGTCAGTAGATTCCATCCGTCTCAGCTTTGACTTGCCCAAAACGTCCTCTTTATAAGGAAAATTCTACCTTGGTCTACCCCCAAACACACCTAATACACAACTTATTCACCTTATAACAAATCTTGACTCATCCTTCCCACAGTCTCTGTGTGGACTCACTGATACACACAACCTAAGGTGAAACAGTTGCAGGTCTCTGCTAATATGGAAAGAACTATGTCTGAGGCACCAAACAGCCCAAAGAAAGCCACTGATTGTAGTATCGCAGAGGACAACAAGAAGGCTCTTCAGTTCATTGAGGAGGTCACAACCAATGTTGACGAGGTCCAAAAGAGAGTTCTTGCTGAAATCCTCTCGAGGAATGCTAATGTTGAGTACTTGCAGCGTCATAATTTCAATGGTCAAACTGATAGAGAGACATTTAAGAAAGTCATACCTGTCATTACCTACGAAGATATTCAGCCTGATATCAACCGTATAGCAAATGGTGATAAATCTCCAATCTTCAGCTCTCAACCCATCTCTGAATTCTTGACAAGGTTTGTACTTTTTTTCTTCCCCGTCTCAAATAGTGTACTAATATAAAGTACACAATTCACATTCTGTCTCTCATTAAGCTTTTCTTTTCTTGCATGTCAATCCTTTGTCTTTCATTTTTGCTAAAAGACAATTTTGTTGGGCAGTTCTGGGACGTGTGGAGGGGAGAGAAAACTGATGCCAACAATTCAGGAAGAGCTCGGGAGGAGATTACAGCTTCACGGCTTGATGATGTCTGTGATAAGTCAATCTGTTCCAGATTTGGAAAAGGGCAAAGGAATGTATTTCTTGTCCATAAAGTCTGAAGCCAAGACTCCAGGAGGATTACCAGCTCGCCCTGTTTTAACAAGTATTTACAAGAGTCCTTATTTCAGCAACAGGCGTCTTAGCCCCTACGCAAACTACACTAGTCCAGCTGAAACCATTCTCTGCCCAGACACTTACCAAAGCATGTATTCCCAAATGCTTTGTGGCCTCTGCCAAAACAAAGAAGTCCTCCGGCTCGGCTCGTACTTTGCATCTGGCTTCATCCGTGCCATTCGGTTCCTAGAAAAGCACTGGTCTCTACTTTGCAACGATATCCGAATGGGAACCATTAACCCCCAAATTACAGATCTGTCAGTCAGAGAGGCAGTGATGAAAATCCTCAAAACTGACCCAGAGTTGGCTGATTTCATCGAGGCTGAATGCAGTAAAGATTCATGGAAAGGGATCATCACTAGGTTGTGGCCTAATACCAAGTATGTGGATGTTATTGTAACCGGAAGCATGTCACAGTATATACCAACCCTTGATTATTACAGCAACGGCCTCCCTCTTGTCTCTACCATGTATGCTTCCTCAGAATGCCCCTTTGGAATCAACTTGAACCCCTTTTGTAAGTCCAGTGAAGTCTCTTACACCCTCATTCCCACCATGGGCTATTTTGAGTTCTCACAAATTCACAGAAGCAATGACGTCCCCAATTCTATCTCCATGTCCGAGTCGCCTAATGAGAAAGAACAGCAACAATTGGTCGATTTGGTTGATGTCAAGATTGGCCAGGAGTACGAGCTTGTTGTTACCACATATTCTGGTATTTTCAAGTGCCAAATAAGATGCTCTTGAATCATTTATTTTTTTCCATTTGTCTGACCGACATGTCTGCTAATGCTTAACTTTGCTTGAATTTGTGCCATTTCAGGACTCTATAGATACAGGGTGGGTGATGTGCTTCGGGTTGCTGGATACAAGAACAACACACCTCAGTTCACTTTCGTTTGCCGGGAAAATGTAATCTTGAGCATTGATTCGGACAAGACTGATGAAGTTGAGCTACAAAATGCAGTGGAAAATGCAGTGCGCAATCTGATGCCATTTGATGCACATGTAACCGAGTACACCAGCTATGCTGATACTGCAAACATTCCCGGCCACTATGTCCTATTCTGGGAGCTCAGTATAAATATCTCTACCCCAATTCCTCCTTCAGTCGTTGAAGATTGTTGCCTCACTATTGAAGAATCTTTAGACAGCGTCTACCGCCAGGGGCGTGCATCTGACAAATCCATCGGGCCTCTGGAAATCAGGATAGTGGAAATTGGGACTTTCGACAAGCTCATGGACTACTGTGTTAGCTTAGGCGCTTCCATAGACCAATACAAGACACCTCGGTGCGTGAGATTTGCACCCCTTGTTGAGCTATTGAATTCGAGGGTCGTGTCCAGCCACTTCAGTCAAACATGTCCAAATTGGGTTCCTGGCCACAGGCAATGGAACAACATGAATTGAATGGCTAGCTTCAATTCCTTCTACTGGTAGCTTCATTCCCAATGCAGAAAAGAACAACTATTTTTGTGGATTATTTTAGCAAAATAATAAAATCAAGTCTCTTGAAGAGGCGTGCTGGTTCCTATCGATACATGTTCTTTATTTACAGATTCTGTATAAAGTAGATTGATCTACTAATTCTGCCATGTGGTCCTGTGGAATAAAAGGGAGAGGTAGATAACAGACTGTTGACCAACTGAAAAGAATTTACTCCATTAGCAAAAATTATTTCAAATGAGTACAAATGGGAAATAAACTAGTAAATGTACTATGAATTTATATTCATGGACACTCTATTAAGACCTTTCATATGGCAAGCTGAAAACAAAAATACACTTCACTTAATCGGCTTTAGCAAAACTAGAGATTCATAAGCTCTTCAACTGTAGGACGATAAATTAAAAAAGAAAAAAAGAAAAAAAAGAAATCAAGCAAAAGAGACAAGTCGTAAAGCCTTTCTTAGCTTTTTCCTTATCCATGGAATAAATAATAACAGAACTCAAGTGTCGTCATCTCTTTGCTTTTGCTATAGTCACAACTCTATTAGAAGGGGAAGATCGTTACTTCATTTCATCTAATTTGCTTATCTTCGTTCAGAAGTATGACTTGGTGGCTATCACAAATGCATAAACAAAATACGTATTACTGCTATAAGGATTCTGTTTACCACAATTTTTTTTAAAAAAATAATTCATATTTAATTGGGTCTATCAGATGACAAATGTTTGTACAATTTTCACTATGTTGTCAGGATCCAATGTAGCATCAATCTTAAATACCCCTTCTGCTTCATCAATCTGAAGCAAATCCAGTTGGGTCTGCAAGAGCTTTGCAGGCATGAAATGCTTACCCTCAGCTGCTCTCTTTTCCAGCCGAGCGGCAAGCACTTCAGCCCCAACATCCAGCAACACGAATTTAACAACACTTGCATAAGAACCTGGTTCATAATTTGGGTCCGCAGATCTAAGGATTTCCCTGTACCGCTTTTGCAGAGCTGAGCAAGCCAGAATCGGCACTTCGTTGTCAGCTAAGCCTCTTCTCAGCACATCTCGTAGTGTTTCAAGCCATGGAACGCGATCTTCATCGGCAAGAGGGATCCCATTCCGCATCTTCTCTGTTTGGTCATGTAAATCATCATTCAATGCACCCTTGGGAATATGTTCTTATATTGATCAGCTTATGATTAGATTTATGAACACATGATCATAATCCTTACCTTTGTTAGACTCAGAGTGATAATCATCGGCATCAAGAAAGCGGCCATTAACAGCTCTTCCAAGCATCTGACCAATTGTCCTGACCAGCATGCATAAGAATTAGTTAAAAGCAAAACTGAAAACATGAATAATTGGAACTTCAAAGTTAAATCGTTCCACTGTCTATCAAATTGGAATAACATATTTAAATAAGTTTCAAGTTCTTTGAGAAAAGGTTCCCTAGGAAGGGTAAACCATTGAGTATCATGTTATACATAAAGCTGATCCAAGTCATATTTCCTTTTAATTATACTAAGAGGTATTCTGCTTCTACATTCTGAAGTTCTTTGTTAAGGTCTAGCTTGAATCCCCACACAGTTTAAAATCAATGACCTCCACAGCTCTTTTGGTTAACTGAGGGACATGCAACAACAGGAAGCAGCAAGAAACTAACTTAGAAGGTACTTAAAACCTTACGATTTTCCAGCTCCGCTAACACCCATAAGCACAATAGCTTTTCCTGTGAGATAAGACATTACACGCAAGAAGAAAACTATTCATCACACCATCCATAACAAATGAAAAAGGAAAGAAGAACCAGATGGAAAGTGAATACAACCTTTGTAGTCAGATGTCATTTTAGGAAAACCTATTATACAATTGCAAGTGCTTGATGTCGAAAGCATTAGATGATTAACCCCTTCAGATATTGCAAGGTTCTAGGCATCAGCCTGATCCTAAAACACGGTAAATGCCAGCGGTATAACAAGAATTAAGACACAGTTAATATCTATAGCTTATGTATAGACACAGTTAATGACAATATCAAGTGGCAAGTCAAAATCACAACTCAGCTCTCTAGAATATTTTGAGTCTGATCTTTCCAGGAAACAAAAGGAGAATAAAAGCAGCATGTTTTCAAGCCAACAAGTCGAGATAGTAGAAATAATTCGAAAAAAGATAGTGTGGAAAAGGGTTTCATGATTGTACTCCTCCTCTGTAAGTTACAAAAGCCTTGTTGATGAAGGTTGGAACAAGATAACTTATGCAACAAATGTTTGTCTTAGTTTGAATCACGGATAGTAGTTGGCCAATCAATTCCCAGAAGGGAAGCCTTGACGCAATGGTAAAAGTTGCGGCCATATGACTAGAAGGTCATGTATGCAAGCCGCGGAAACAGCCTCTTGTAGAAACGCAAAGCAAGGCTACCCAATGTGGTATGCCCCTTGTCCGGACCCACGAATAGCCGGAGCTTAATGCACCGGGCTGCCAGAGACGGAACAAAGGGGGTGGAATGGGGTTCATCATCGAAATATTATACTGTATTTACAAGGTCAAAATTAATTTTGATGTATATAAAGGATGTTGAATCCCTACACAAACCAAGAGCTATTTGTGCATTTATTTCTTTATACTTTGCTAGTCTAATATTGTGTTTTTCTAATTGATAAGCCAAATACAAACCTACACTTCAAAAGTACTTTCAGAAAAAGCACATTTTAGAAGCTTAGCTAAACATGCTATAAGATCCTGGCTCCGCCAAGGCTACCCAATGTGGTATGCCCCTTCTCCGGACCCCACGTATAGCCGGAGCTTAATGCACCGGGCTGCCAGGGACGGAACAAAGGGGGTGGAATGGGGTTCATCATCGAAATATTACACTGTATTTACAAGGTCAAAATTAATTTTTATGTATATAAAGGATGTTGAATCCCCTTGACACAAACCAAGAGCTATTTGTGCGTTTATTTCTTTATACTTTGCTCGTCTAATATTGTGTTTTTCCAATTGATAAGCCAAATACAAACCTACACTTCAAAAGTACTTTCAGAAAAAGCACATTTTAGAAGCTTAGCTAAACATGCTATAAGATCCTGGCTCCGCCAAGGCTACCCAATGTGGTATGCCCCTTCTCCGGACCCCACGTATAGCCGGAGCTTAATGCACCGGGCTGCCAGGGACGGAACAAAGGGGGTGGAATGGGGNCCCCCCCCAAAATCAATTCCTAGTGCCATGCTAATAATAATTTAATTTTATGACCTGGGGCGGTTCAAAGCTTCCAGACTTTGCCAAAATTGCACTGTTTCAACTTGAATGATAAATATAATTATGAATATTCCAACTTTTAACAATCGATTAATAATAGACATGTTAACTGTAAGATTCACAAGCTAATAATACAAAATGGATTTGATGCTTTGTTTATGCAGGAGAGTTAACAAAAAGAAGTGAAAATGAAAGGTTCAAAATTTGTTTTAGCAATACAGAAAAGAGAGTAATCAAGTGAAAGGGATGAGCTTACCAACTGGATTTTGCCGGAGAAAGGAACGGACGGCGATTTGGTTCGCCGGAGAAAGAGAAGGAAAGAAGCAAGATCGCGTCTTTCGCCGTCAAGGAAAGCCGAATTAGCGACTCTATTTCTAGTTCAAATAATCGCAGCTGTATGCGGCTTAGGAATTACATTTCCTGAACGCGACTTATAAACCATCTGCGATAATATTACACTAAACACCCCCTATATTTGACTCAATTTCAAATATCATTCATTGTCTTTTAAATTAAACACTTATACATCCTATATTATAAAAAATTTAGGCTTACACTCCCCATGAATTATATCTCATTATCTCTAACTAAGTATCTTAAAACATGATGATTAAAAGATAAATTAAATTTAATGTAAAAATTCTTTGTGTAGTTCAACATTTAGATTCTAATCAGGTAGGAGCATAACCTCTTTTTCTGTATCAAATTTAATCCAAAAATGGCTTTAATTTGAAAATGGTTTGCTCTAGGTAACTGATAACCTATAGCAAACCAAATTCAAATTAGATTAGAAGTTCCTTTGAGGCTACCCAACTTATTACTTTTGGCTTGTTTTAAGTCATTTATAACTTATTTTAAGCACTTTTAACTTTGTCAAATACGAAAAAAATTAAAAAAAAAATTAAAATTTGATTTGACCACCTTAAAAGCCAATCCAAGCACCCTTTAGGTCTCCCCATATAGTTACTCTCTTAGTTGTTTTCACTTTCGCAAAATAACATTAGTGTTGACTATATGTAATGCTCCATGATACTAATAATAAGATATTTATGTTTCTTGAACTTTGTAATAATGCACCAACAAAAAGCATTATATTAGGGTACAAAGGAAACCGACAAAGTAAAAATGGCATGTAGTAGCCACTAATTAAGGGTGTCTTTAATTTTTATCCACTAATTATAATGCTCAGCAAAAATAGCCACTACTAATAGAAAAAAGACAATTTTACCCTTTCTTCCTCTTTTTCGCCTTTCATTTTCATCTGGAATACCTAAGGTGATTTCATGGTCGGCCTCCTCCATGCTTGGTCAACAGCATCAATCCCTCAATCCCTTATCTGTGCACATCAATCCCTTAATCCTTTCTCTCTCTCTCTCCAAAAGAAAATGTTGGAACCCCTCTTCATTTCACACACTGTTGCTGCTTCTCTCAAGCACAAACTTCAACTTTCAAAACCCAGACACTTTATAATAAACCCATGGATGAATTGCAGTTTAGTTCGACTCACAACTACTGCCACTGCCACTAAGTGTAGTGAAAAAGTGAATAGATGGTCCCTTTATAGCATGAATGCTCTTGTAACTGGTGGCACTCGAGGCATTGGGTACTTTTTCATTTGCTAGTTCATGATTTATGTTCTGTTTCAAGATATTTATAGTCTTCAGTTCATCTACCATTAAAAATAACTATTATGCATATTGTTTCCATCCTACAAGTCAAGAGAATGGGAAACAAATGACATACGTTATAAAGCAATCCTTGTAGAATTAAGAACAGGTGTACTGTAAGTGCAAGACCAAGATAAGGACTGTCTGTCCTTAACATTTAAACATGGAATTAAAAGTTAAGGACTTCGAGTCCTTAACTTTTGAACAAGAAATTAAAACTTAAGGACTGTCGGTCCTTAACTTTTGAACCAAAAATTAAAACTTAAGGACTGCATGTCCTTAACTTTTGAACCAGAAATTAAAAGCTAAGGACTGCCTGTCCTTTAACATTTAAACATATAATTAAAGTTAAGGACTGTCAGTCCTTAACATTTAAATATGGAATTAAAAGTTAAGGACTGTCAGTCCTTAACTTCTGAACCAGAAATTAAAAGCTAAGGACTGTCTGTCCTTTAACATTTAAACATGTAATTAAAGTTAAGGACTGTCAGTCCTTAACATTTAAACATGGAATTAAAAGTTAAGGACTGCCAGTCCTTAACTTTTGAACAAGAAATTAAAAGCTAAGGACTGTCTGTCCTTTAACATTTAAACATGGAATTAATAGTTAAGGACTGCTAGTCCTTAACATTTAAACATGTATTTAAAAGTTAAGGACTTTTAGTCCTTAACATTTGAACCAGAAATTAAAACATAGAATTTGAAACTCAAGCTACAGGACTTTGTATACAGAAGAACAACAACAAAGTGAAGGACATTTTGTCCTTTAGTTTTTTTATTCAATTTGCAAAATGAGGCCAGTAGAATCAAAGTTAAGGACATAGTGTTCTTATTTTTTTGAATTCAATTTCAAAAATGAAGACAGTATGTCCGGAATACATAATTATCATAGGAGACGATGTCTATAACTTCATCAATCCTCAGTTGATCGTCGCTGGGTAACTGCTGTTGCTGCTCGCTTCTTCTCTTTGTGTAACTGCTGCTTGTGTTGATAGCGTAGGTATAAGTTATACCAGAAGGGTATTTTCGTCCAGCCAGGTACAAGTTTTTTAAGGAGTGGCTAAAGTCTAAATACATTGAAAACATTGGCTTTAAAATAAAAGTCACTGCTCTTAGTGACTATTTGTGTCGTTCGCGCACCGACAAACCGCATCAATTCGATAATCCGAGTCAAATCAGAAAAAAAAAAAAAAGCCCGACTATGGTTTGGTTTGGTTTGATTTGGTTTGGTGTTGGGGAAAAACCCCCGACCATAATTGGTTTGGTTTGGTTTTAACTAAAGAAAGTCAAACCGAAACCAAATCAATCCGACATTACATATATAGAAATTTTAGATATATTTAATATACAAATATACTTATTGTGATGTAATTTATAAATATTTCTTAAACTTTTTCATAATTTTATCTTCTAAGGTATTATTTCAAGGTTGGATTTAGAACTTTTGAATGTTCCAATAAGTTTTATAGCCATTAATATTAGTAACTTAAATAATGCTAACAAAAGCCAAAACCAAAATCAAATCAATACTAATGCTAAAAAAAGATATTCAATTCAATACTACGAATGACAATGTATTGAATATCTATTTTTTGTTTTGCAATAATTTAGATAAAAATGCATAATCTATTTTTATTTTTCTTTAGCGTTTAGTCATGTAATTAATACTCCCTTATTAGTCTACTTATTTTAGCATGACTTAGTACTTTTAAATTATGTTTATTTTTATTATGACTTTCTAATTAGCAATATTTATATTACATAATTTTATTGTCTTTATTGTTGAATATTTTAGGATAATGCCATGGCACATCTCAAATTTTGTATTATTTTCTTGGAAAATACCTTATATAGTTGTATCTTACTAGAATTAAATAAATATTTTGAGAACAAGTTATATGTTTTGTGCTACGAAGATTTTAACGGAAAAAACCTGGGGGAAAAAAACCCGAATAACCCGAAAACCCGAGAAAAACCGAGATTGAAAACCCCGAATTTTATTGGTTTAGTTTGGTTTGGTCTTTATATTTAATAACCCGACACAATTGGTTTAGTTGATAATTGCAAAATTCGAACCAATCCTACCTATGTACACCCTTAGATGTGATAATACAAAATAATGCAATTCATATGTCTCACTTTATATGACAATGAATAATCGATCTTGAAATTTAAAATATTAATAGCGATAGTAAAAAATAAGTACTACCGTAATATCTAACAACAACAAATCCACTTTAATTTCACATGTGGTACAAATATATATATATATATATCACGCAAAAGAAGATAATATAGTAGTATAAAATAAAAAATACACAATTTAAAAAGTGTATCATGTAAAAGAAAGAAATATTAGCCCCTCCGTTTGAATTTATGTGAACCTATTTCCTTTTTAGTCCGTGCTAAAAAGAATGATCCCTTTTCTTATTTAGAAACAATTTACCTTTACAGCCACACAAAATATATGTGCCTTATTTTACACCACAAGATCAAAAGTCTTCTCTCTTTTCTTAAACTCCGTGCTCAGTCAAATGAGTTCACATAAATTGAAACAGAGGAGTAGTAAACACAGACAAATGAAGTCAAATCGATCATATGCCCTTTGTCCCCAACCACTAAATGCAAACTTACTAAAAATTTCCTCTTCACCTCTCTTGTTTAAATAGACTTTCTTCCTATCCTTTGGTAACCAATTCAGGAACGGAGCTATAATATTAGCTATGAGTTTGTACAATACAATATTTTTTACTTATTTATAGTCGGACATTCATTAAACATATGTAGATAATTAATTACGAATCTTATAACTAAAATGAACTATGAATTTGATTTCAAATTCAAAACTCATAAATTTTACGCCTTTACTAGAATTACTCAATACTTATACCGAATAAAAATAATAGATAACCAAAACTAATCAAGGTGCGTATAATTTAAGACACACTAGGGGTGTTCATAAGAACCCGAAAAACCGAATCAAATCGAAAATTGAACTAAACCACCAAAAAATTGATATTTTTAGGTTTGGTTTGGTTTTGGTTTTGAATTATAAAAAATGATCAAATTTAGTTTGGTTTTAGTTTTAATCAAAACTAAACCGAAAAAATCCAAACCAAACCGATTATAAAAGTAGCTACTTAAATTTATTATTATACCTATATACATGTATATTTTTATATAAAGTTTCTACAATTTTATGGTACGTATTAGTCATTATTTTTAGTCTAGTTCTTTGCTATTATAATAATCTAATTATTTGTCTTTACATTCTAGTTTGATTGGTAGTTTTCTTTTACTAAGTACGAGAATTTACTTCATGTTAAAAGTAATCAATCTTTAACTGAGTACTTAAATTATTCATCACCATTTGATTCAATTATCATCAATATATCTTGAAAGTAATAGATTTCTCAAAGAGCAATTGATTTGATAGTGTTACGTTGAAAATGTAGTCGCCGGAATATGCGTTTGGTAGTGTATGTCTCATATTTAAGAAAAAATTCGATAAATAACCGAAAAAATCGAAAAACCAATATAAACCGAATCGATAAAAAACTGATTCAATTGATTTGGTTTGGTTCTAATATCTGAAAAATCGACTTACTTGATTTGATTTTTTTTTTTAGGGAAAAACCGACTCAAACCGAATCATGAACACCTCTAACTGACACCACCACCACCACCAACAACAACAACAACAACAATATGCCTAATGTAATTCTACACATAGGATTTGAGGAGGGTGAAGTGCAAGCAGAAATTATCCCTATCTTGTGCGACGTAGATAAATTATTTTCTATAGACTTTCCCCTAGAAAAGTGTTTTCAAAACCGATTTGAAAAAAGAAAAAAAAATAGTAAAAAAAAAAAAAAAAAAAAAAAAAAGTCTTTCTATATCCCAAAACTCCCTTCTCATTTCCTTAAAAACCAAAAATTTCTTTCTCATAATTTCCTTCATTCATGGCTTTCCTTCAATATTATCAGTTTCCATTTCTTTTACTCTTCTTCTTTTTCTTCTCTTTTCCACTTTCTCAACCCATGTCCATTCATGATCTCCTCAAATCCAAAGGCTTACCAGCTGGTCTTCTCCCAAAAGAAGTAAAATCTTACAATTTTTCATCAAATGGCCTTCTTGAAGTTTTCTTAAATGGCCCTTGTTTGACAAAATTTGATACTATGGCCTTTTATGAAAGTTATGTTAAAGCTAATTTAACTTATGGTTGTCTTACTGGAGTTCATGGACTTTCACAAGAAGAGCTTTTTGTGTGGCTACCAGTTAAAGGAATTAGTGTTGATGATCCAAATTCTGGTCTTATAATTCTTGATATTGGTTTGGCTCATAAACAACTTTCTCTTTCACTTTTTGAAGATCCACCTCATTGTAAACCACATGGTAATTCTTGACTCATCCTTTTGCTCTATTTTTCTTTTTGGCTACTTTCAATATTATATGAAAAATAAGCATTTGATTATTGTTACAATTTGTTAAATTACAGTAAGAGCCCGTTTGGACATACAAAATTTTTGCTTTTTTCAATAAAAAAAAATAAATTGAAAACAATGTTTGGTTATTCATATCTTAACAGTTTTTTCAATTTCACTTGAAAATGCATTTTCATATTTGAAAATTTGGTTCTTACCAGTTTTTCAATTGAAAATGCATTATTCACTAGTTTTTAATTTTATAAATTTATCATATACTTTTAAAATTTATAAAATGACCCCATCAATTATTAACCTACAACTACCCACTTGTTTCCCCTCAACTATCAGATGAAGCTACTGCAGCGGATAATGAACCATTTTCTTGTGACGACTACCATGTTGCTAAATAATAGCATGTTTGATTGTTTATTTCAAGTAGTATAATTAAATTGGGACGGTTTTGATATTCTTTACAAGTTATGGGGTATAAATCATATTTCATGGTTTTGCAAAAAAATACAGTCAAACATGTTGCAAAAATTATAACCAGACACAACTTCATCTTCAATTCAAATTTTAGTAAAATTCCAAATTTAAAAATTTATTTTGGAATTCATGGATTAACGCCTACTAAGTTAGATGTCGATGAAGCCTATAAACTATCAGTATTTTTGACATGATGAAAACTCATTAATCTTCAACAAATACTAAAATTTGAACACATAATTTCAAAAGTGCTAAGTGAAGATTAAATTTTGAAATGAACTAAACGGAAGTCCGGTGCACTAAGCTCCATCAATATATGTGCGAGGTTTAGAGAAGGGCCGTACCACGAGGGTCTATTATACGCATTGGGTGTGCATTCGATTTATCGATTCGATTTTGACCCTTATCGATAATTACTTATCGATTATCGATTTGTACATATGCTTATCATTATCGTTTCAATAAGTTTCGATTTCGATTTATCGATTTTTGGGGTCTATCGATTCGGTTATCGATTACACCAATAAGAAATTTTGCAGTATTCCACGGAAAGTATATTGCTATAAACACGCCTAACTAATATAAACAAAAAGAAGCCAAAATAAGACGTTATAACATAAAAATTGTGTCAACAAACACATGCAACGAAACTAAAATAAGGGATCAAATGTATGCCACCAACACTCCAACGGTATAAAAAAATAAAATACATCATCACGGCTAATTCTATTTTTCATTAATTTGAACTTCATTCCCTTGAGCTTTAAATATGATCATTCCTTAAATGTGGCAGATGAAATAATAGGGTTAGGGACTTAGGGTAAAGGAAAGGGTATTATAGAATAAGGGGAAAAAAATTTAGTATATCTTATCGGCTTATCGATAAACCGATAACCGAAGAGGACAAAATCGAAATCGAAATCGATAACTCGATGAGAAAAATTTTGAAATCGAAATCGATAAATCGATAACAAATAATCGATTCGATTTATCGATAAACCGATTCGAATGCACACCCCTAATTACGCAATACTACCTTGCATTTATGCAAGAGGCTTTTTTTAAGGCTCGAACCCATAACCTCCTGGTCACATGACAACAACTTTACGGTTACGCCAAGGGTATCAACTTTACCGGTTATGACAAGGCTTCTCTCCTAAATTTTGGAGTGAACTATGCTGATATTATATAATTTATTTATTTTCACATTATTAGTGTATACAAGTTAAACTTGTTATTTATTAGTTCTCTTTGTACATGATTTTTAAAACTTTTTGATTCTTGAAATTCCTTTTTATCAGTCTTTTTTCTTCTGTTCTGTATTGGACAAAATATACTGGTTCTCAATTGATTTATTCTCATGTGAACTTGGATTCATTCACGTGAACAAAATATCACTTGTTTCGAGGTAAAAAAGCGATACTTTCTTCTAGGGTTGGGAGTTTTTAGTTAAATTTGCTAGTCACTTTGTTATTGTTCATTTTTTGACTGAATATTACTGCATTGTTGAATGTACAGGGATTCTGAAAAAGAACACTGGGAAGACACAGAGATTTGAAGCACAGGATGGAAGAGATTCCCTTTAAATATTATCTTGTGATCGCTTATTAATAGATAACTTTAACTTTAATGATAATATATTACTTAGTATAATGTAGTAAATATTAGGATTATTTCATTGTAGGTTAAAAGTCTTTTATTTGGATTGAGGGATTTTGGGAATATGATCTCTTGCTTATTGGATAGAGATATGCTAATTAATCTTCTAACTTTTTATCTTTTGTTTTGATTGTTTGGGGGAAGGGAGTCTTGGATCAACGGTAAATTGTCTTCTTGTGGCCTATAGGCACGGATTCGAGCCGTGCAGAAGCAGCCACGAGCGCATACATTAGGATAGGGCTGCCTACATCACATCCCTTTGAGTGCGGCCCTTCTCTAAATCCTGCATAAATATAAAATACTTTGTGCATCAGACTGCACGTTTTGATTGTTCGCGTTGATCTTGATAGATAGATTAGATAACACCAAAGCAAAGGATCTCCTACTATCATCCCAACTGGATCAACAATCTTAATATGCTTAATTTTCATCTCTATCTTTACTTGTAAAAGGCCATACTCTTTCAGGCAGTTATGCTATTAAAGCCAAAGTCATTTTTTCACATAGTTAACAAGAACAGGGAAGATTCAATTGCTCAACAACATATTATTGTTCTTTTGACCACTCGATTGTTCCTTATTAGGGATTACTATACCTAAGGCGTAACCACCCGCGAGCATGTAGGATGAGCGAAAATTCTTCACTCTTAATCAGAGGTTTTTGGTTCGGACTCTCAAATCTTTCAACTAGGAGCACTTCACCTGCTTTATAATAAATATTAGTAAGTATTGCAGCCGTAAAACGGAGTGCAGTTCACCATTACTTTGGCTTTTGAAGAAGTAGTTAAGTTTTGAAAGATGAACAACCCGCGTTACTTTATATTATAGTCGTAAAAAGCTTCTCAGAAGAATATTGAAGAAGGCACTCAAAAGGTCGACCACTATACCAACGACTACACTGATATATACCAGGTCATGAGCTATAGCAAGGTTGGACCTATTCGGACAAATCTCGACTAGTCGAGTCAGTAAATTTCAGATCCAGATGAAAAAAAGGGGAAAGAAAAACCTAAATCGCTAAAAGTTATATCGCGTGAAAACACAATTATATAAAGAGTGTAAGTAACTAGCACTACTAGAAATTCGGCAAAAACCGACCAAGAAAAACCGACCAAGAAAAACCGACCAACTTTAGCCGGTCAAAAACCGGCGAAAACCGAGCAAAGTTGGTCGGTTTTTTAAAATATTTTAATTTTTAATTTATTTTTTTACGAAACCGACCAACTTTGGCGCTAAAAATACAGGAAACTATTTTTGAGTTCAGCAAAAATGCGGGGCTCAAAAGTTGGTCGGCCGGTTTTCTTTGGCGCAAAAATGCGGGAAACTATTTTTGAGTCCCACGAAATTTAATTTTCAAGAAACTGACCAACTTTGGTCTGTTTTTGCAATTAAAATAAAATAAAAATTAATATTAAAAAAATCGACCAACTTTGGTCGGTAAATTCGGCCGGTCATTTTAAAAAACCGACCAACTTCGGTCGGTTATTTTCGTGCGAAAATACAATTAAAGAGTATAAATAAATTAAAAAAAAAAGGACAATCTTAAAACAAACTGCACCAATGGTCTAGTGGTAGAATAGTATCCTGTCATAGTACACACCCCGGTTCGATTCCCGGATGGTGAATTTTTTGATTACATAATTAAAATATCAACCAACTTTGGTCGGTTTTGTTTTGCAATATTTATTTTTTTGAATTTAATGGACCGACCAACGCTAGTCGGTAATTTCCGACCAACTTTGGTCGGTATATTAAAACAACCATCAAAATACCGTTCAAGCGTATTTGGCAGTGTTTTGATCGGTAATTGGTCATGACCGATCAAAGTTGGTCGATTTTTTTTAGTTAGTATTTAAAGAATTTCTAATAGTGTAGTACAACTTGAGTATAATTGTTAAACAAATTTCATAGGATGCTTGTACTAACATGGGAAAGATGGACCCCTAAACGGATAGGAAAGTGGCATATGGGACTGTACGTACCTTGTTCATATGGTTGCTTTTATACAAGTACTTGATTACATTTATCTCTTATTGGACAGACTTATTATGTCGTGGACTCTCTCACCTTGTACTGTTTTTAGTCTACTAGATTGCAGTACCTGTGAACGAGGGGCACCCCAATTTTTAATCAAAATAAACATTGTGGTATGTGTTGTATGTACTCCCCCACTAAAAATTTTGGGTCCGAACTATGAGTATGAAATCATCTTTCTCGAACAAGTGGTCTCGTGTTATAAGTACAAAATCGTCGTTCTCTAACAAGAGATCTCACGTTCGAGCTATAAGTATGAAATCATCTTGGTAGAGAGTGAATTATCCCTTAAAAGAGATTTTTCAGCACAAATCGGGTTCCAAAATAGATACCGAATACTAAGCGGGAAACAAAAAAAAACAACTATAGCAACTATGCATGCGAATTTCGGATGCTTTAATTATTTGGTGGTGCCTTTTCATCAATGAAAGTGAAATTCAAGATTCATTTTTAATGGTCATTATCATCTGATTAAAACCAAAACCTACTTTTGTCCTACATTTGTGTCATATTCTAAGGATAACAACCAAAAAATTAGAACTGAAAAACGTGGAGAGAGGAAAAGAATAAGAAAGGGGGCCGTTATCTTGACTAGTAAAGAGTTTGGCTTAGTAGTTTAATGGCCACGCATTGTCGATTCTTTTAGCAGTAAATATTGAAACTACAATAGGGATGAATTGTCGATTTTTCTTTTTGTATTCAAAGTAGTCGACTAATTGACTAGTTTATCAATTAGTTGACTAAAAGTAAGAACAGAATATAAGTAAAGTAAAAATAAAATACAAGAACTAAAAACACCAGGATTTTTATACTGGTTCGGATTCAATGTGAATCTTACGTCCAGTCCCCTTGGGTTGCAAGGGTGTTCTCTTTCAATATTTGAAGTTTCTCTATTACAAGAGCGTTGATGTAGCTTTACACCAACAGCTTAATCACCATGTCACTTCTCGCTTCTTGATACAATGTCTCACCAGTGTATATCTCTTTTTTTTTCTCTCGCTAATTACACAGTGGGTCTAAAAAAACTACAATGCTTGTTTGGAGTACAACAAAAAGAGTGACAGTGGTTCGTTTAGAGTACGCCCACTTCAAGATTGGTACATATGTATATATACTTCGTGAGGTCTTCATGACTCTTGATTGATGTGAATCTCGAGAGATTACAGACCCAGGGAGTTGATCCTTGAAAGAAATCGTCGAGTGATTCTTTTCAAGAATAAGGTGGAGCTTCCGTTGATTTGCCTTGACTTGTGGTCTGGATAGACTTTTCCTCCGCTAAGCAAATCTTTTTGTTATTTGAGAAATCAAAATTAGATCCCTTGATTCCGGGCTTTAACAGTCTTCCGTTGATGGAGGAATCTCCAGTGTATAGATTCGCAATCTTGTTTTTCTTTAATTTGGGAACTTCCTATAACATCCTCCGTCAATCTGCTATCAAATCCTTGATTAATTCTTCTTTCAGATTTTTCGTTGCTTATTCCTTTTCCGTCTCTAATCTTTGATAACTTTCCTTTGCTTTGCTTCTAGAGTTTTTCTTCAATCATTGTCGCTTCAATCATTATCCTTCCTTACTTTCTTTCGTTGACAGATCTTTTCCTTAATTCTTTTACGTCTTCCTTTCTCGATTTCTTCCATACTTGAATAATAGAGCTTCTTGAGTCCTTCGTTTTATTCCTCGTAATATGTTATTTTTCATCACTGAAACTTATATTTAACAATTGCCCCTTTTTGATGATGACAAAATAACATATAAAAACAGTTTACTTCTATGTTATAGTTAGTGCTTGTTTTGTTGTAGTCGACTCCCCCACAAAAGGTGTTGTTGTTTGTGTTGCGTTTGTAACCTCATATGCTGCAGTCGACTCCCCCTCAACAAGTGTTACTATTTGACATGCACTATAATTAACCTTTTCTCCTCCTTTTTGGCATCAACAACGAGGGGATATATACATGTATAAAATAAAGCAGACATAGGCAAGCAATTTAGGCAAATATAGGTAGTTATAGGCATGCAGAGTTCGCAAAAATAACAACAACAAAAAATCCAACGACTGGTTATCCAGTCCAAAACAGCAAAAAAATATTGTCTAAAATATCCACAACTAACAAAGCAAGAAATAAGTGAAAGTGTTGCAAATCGCCTCCTTCAGACGATCAAAGCTGGCATTTGCTAAACCTGACACCCCATCAATCCAGTCATGTACTTCTTTGAAGGCTTTGACTATATTTTCTGCCAACTTAAGAATTTTGACCCTTATCTTCGAAACATCGGACCCTGTCTCTTTGGAGATGGCCATGAATGTCCCCAACAGTTAATTGAGTTGCAGCAAAAAGGTCTTTGTTGATGGCCAGTATATTGTCAATGGCAAACAATTTTTCTACAAGATCATGATCACTTACAGTATGATGGGAACCAGTGGCTTTGACCTTTGAATCAGATTGAACATTCTTGATTTCTCCCTATTATTTCTTTACCCAGGAACCCTTAACACGCACATACCCCATACTGGCAAAGACTCTAGAGTTGTAGGATTTGGTGACAAAGACAAAAGGATATTCTGAGATAGAGATATTGCGGGCTTCTAAAAGATGGGTGATAACCATACCATATGGTAGATTTATGGTGTCATCAGCACTTTTAACCATAAAATTTATGGCCCACAAGGATAGTTTGACCTTAAGCTTGGTTACTAGACAGTAGACAAGAAAGGTGCCTCGTTGAGAGAAAGTGAAGAATGAGCTTGTGCGAGGAAGAAGAGTAGTTGCAACAATGTGGACCAGAACTCGGGTTTCAAACTAACATCACCAGGACCTAACTAGTTAGGGAGGAAATCAGAGAAACTATATAGCACTTAGCTTGATTAAAAGGAATTTCAAAGTCTTTAGGCCAGGTATTTTTGAAAAGCATGGGGAAACCAGAGCACTTACACTGAAAAATTGAGTCAAACATGGCACAATTAAGAACAATGCATTTTCCTAAAACTAGGGATTCTAACTTATCAGGCTTGCTAGAGCGGATATTGGCATAGAACATCTTCACTAGAGGTTCATAGACTTTAGGAGGGGGTAAAAAGAGGAAATT